ATATATATATATATATATATATATATATATATTATGGTTTCAAAATGTTTGCAAAAGGTTTTAATTCCTGGGATCCATATGACTAGAGAGTGCAACACTATTCCTTGCAGTCGAGGGATAGGTCATCTCTTGTCGGGCAGTGTTTGATCATTATGGGCTAAGAAGTTAAGTGTAAGACCATTGAGGGTAATATGAGCTAATCTTGCATCTGCCCACATTGAGGGTAAATGTTGGGCCCATTAAGAGCCCATAGTGATGGACTCAGGGGTTCACTGTCTCCTACAGTGAATTCGGCCAGACCTTCTAACAAAGGCTAGGCTGAACCCATGTGGTTGATGTGTAGATCAATGTTTGGGTCCCACGCCATACAAAGAACCAAATGGGCAACAGGTTAAGAGGTAAGTGAGCACATAAGTTTAATGGGCCTAAAGCCCGATTCGAACTGGGCTTAAGTTAGTTAATTAAAAGGAGGCAACATAGGATTTATAATCGGATTAGGATTAGCTAAAGAATAAGATAAGTCTTATCCATTCAAGAGTCCAGATCCAAATATCAGATTTGGATTAAGGAACTCTCTCCTAATTAGATTAGGAGGTTGATCCTAAGAAGGCTATAAATAAAGGGGGTGAATTCCTCAGTTAGACAACACAGCAACCTGCAGACTTCTCCTCTATTCTTGCCATCCCTACCCAGTTTGATCTCTTCTTGAGGAATTGATCAAGAAAGGTTCTTGATATTGTTTCTTGGCTAAAGAAGCAATTTGAAGACGTGCTCACCAGCCCCTTCTCGATTCTTGCCGAATCTTGGTTCTTGCTGAAGAGCCATCCTACTGATACTGCTTCATCACACACTGTGTCATATTCGGTGGAAGCGGGTTTTGGTATTTTCCTTGGGCGTGAACACCTTCGTATCAGGTATATCCCTCTCCTCCCTTTTTGTATCAAATCTGGTCTGGTTTTGGATTAAAGAACGATCCTTGAAAGTACGGTTTTCTAAAATAAGGAATGTGATTCCTAGATGGGAGAGAGAAATTTTTTTAAATTTCGCCTAACCTTCCTGTAGGATTTGCCCATCCATATGATGGATCTCTCATCCCTTCAAACAGGGTGGCTTCTAAACTTGGGCGCTGCCATTAGGGGCTACAAAGACCTCCTCAAAAAAGTAAAGTGGTTAACTAGTAATATGAGAGTTGAGGTTAAATGGGTAAGTAAGTCAGCTAATACTATGGCTGATTCCTTGGCCAAACAAGGGGTTTCCAGGGAAGGCCTTTTTTGTGCTACATTGTACCTTGTTCTAGTAAATTGGAAAGTTGTAATTAATTAGCTTGGAAAGGTTGCATCTTGTGTCTCTCCTTGGGGACCTTGTCCTATTTATCTTTGATGATTAATAAATTTCATTCAATTATCAAAAAAATTACAAAAAAAAATAAAAAAAATGTAGAAAAACTGGACATATCTCTAATAATTTTTATATCAATCACGTTATACAAAAAGTAAATGAAAAACAAGAATTGTTTTTATTGATGTTGGAAATGAAATAGAAAATTTAAAACCGACCTAAAAATGAAATTGTTTTCTTTTTTGTGGTAGTTCAAAGTACAACCTTTCATGTCAAATGTGTCAATCCTTGATATCATATATAATTAAATAAGAAAATTTAAAAAAAATAAGATAAAAACACAAAAAAATTAAAATATAGAAGTTCTATATAAAACCCATTTGGGCACATCCCTAATAGCTTATACTAACCATGATAAAGAAAAAATGTGTGACAAACAATAATTGTCTTTATTAATGCTGGAAATGAAATGAAAATTTTAAAACCGAACCAAAAGTGAAATTGTATTCCTATTTGTTGATGAGAGAATAGTTCAATCTTTTAGGTCAAATGTGTCAATCCCCAATGTCATAATTAAATAATAATAATAATAATTAAGAAAAGATACAACCAAAAAAAACATAAAATGTACACAAATTTAGTAAAAAGCATTGGTTGCATCCCCAATATTATGTATTCATCACATTAAGCATTGGTTACTATTATCCCCATCACTAAAAGTACCATGTGCAAAAGCACGTGCACATTTACTAGTTTTAGTAAGGATTCAATGCAGTGAATTTCAACTAAACATTTTAGAGGAAGGGGATGGGACCAGTTATTTCCATATGATTGCAAATGGAAGGAAGAAAAAGAGCTTCATTTCTTTATTGGAGTTAAAAGGTGCAAGAATCTCTAACCAAGAAGAGATTGCAAAGGCCTTTGTGGACTACTTTAAATCAATCTATAAAAGGCCAACTATGGAGAAATGGAGGGTAGAGGGTTTGGATTGGCCATTGTTAGGGAGTAATTTACAATGTGAATTAGAGAGAAAATTTGAAGAAGAGGAGGTTAAGGAAGTTGTTTTCTCTATGGACCGCTCTAAGGCCCTGAGCCTAGTTAGTTATACTATGGCTTTTTACCAAGATTGTTGGGAGTGTCGGCCGGGGAGTAAATGCTACTTTTATTGCTCTGGTTCCAAACAAAGCGGATGCGTGCCACCCCAAGGACTTTAGGCCAATTAGTTTGGTGACAAGTAAATATAAGGTTTTTGCCAAAGTCCTATCCCTCCAATTGAAAAAGGTCCTCCTGTCGATTATCTTGCACTTCCAAGGGGCCTTCATTCAAGAAAGGCAAATTGCGGATCAGATACTACAAATGTGTGTGGAGGACTTTAGAAAATCCAGAAAAAAAGAGGATTGTGTGCAAATTGGACTTGGAAAAAGCCTAAGATTGTGTTGACTGGAGATTTTGATAGAAGTGATGGAGAAATGTGGGTTTGGAAGGAGATGGGGCAAATGGATAAAGGTTGCTTACAGTCTTGCCAGTTTTCAATTGTGGTAAATGGGGTAGTCAAAGATTTTTTGGGGAATCTAAGGGGTATAAGGCAAGGAGATCCGTTGTCACCTTTTCTCTTTGCCTTCATTGCTGAGGTTTTTAGTAGAATGATTTCAAAAGCTGATGAGATGAGGTTAACCAGGGGATGGAAAATAGAAAGAGACAAAGTGGTGGTCACCCATTTACAGTTTGCAGATGATATTATCATCTTCTGTGAAACTGAGAGAGCAAAGTGCTAGAGACCTAAGGCTTTTAGTCAGGCTTTTTGAGAAGGTGACAGGCATAAAGCTAAACTTAAGCAAAAGTGTGGTGGCAGGGATCAACATGGGTCAAGAGGAGATAGACATTTGGGCTAGTGAATTGGGTTGTGGGTCAAGCAATTGCCTTTGAAATGCTTAAGTCTCCCTCTTGATGCTAACCCTAGATCTTTGAATTTATGGGATCCAGTAATGGAAAGATTTGAGAAGTTGTCTAGTTGGAAGTGGAACTACATTTCCATAGGGGGCAAGATAACTCTTATGAAATCCACT